TAACCTGTTGATATATATGGAGAATAAAAGTGGACCTAAAACAGAACCTTGTGGTACACCATTAGAAATGTTTAACCACTCAGAAGACAGCCCATCAAAATGAACACATTGGGACCTTTCAGAGAGGTAGTTCACAAACCACCCCACGGCATGGCTGGATATGCCAATACTGAGTAGCCTCTGCTTTAAGATGCGATGATCCACGGTGTCAAACGCTTTGGAAAGGTCAATAAACAGAGCTGCACAACTCTGCTTATTATCTAAAATACTCGTAATGTCATTCACCACTTTCATTGTCGCAGTGATGGTGCTATGTTGCTTTCTGAAGCCTGACTGATGTTTAGACAGGATATCATTTTTACATAAAAACTCCTTTACTTGCTCACTCACTAGTCGTTCGAGCACTTTAGCCAGAACTGACAATTTAGAGATTGGCCTATAGTTATTTAAAATAGTTGCCTCCCCTCCTTTCAGTAAAGGCAAGACATAAGCAGACTTCCATACTTTTGGAATTGTATTTGTGCTGAGGGAGAAGTTAAAAAGAGAAGTAAGAGATGGAGCAATAAAATCTGCAGCTATCTTTAAAAAGAAGGGTTCTACGTTGTCCGGGCCAGCCGGTTTCCTAGGATCTAACTTGGATAATGCTTCATGAAAAACACCAACAGTAAATGGAGTAAAACTGAAAGGGTTTTCCAGACCACATTGTTCACAGTCAGGGATTGGAGTGTTCACAGCAGCAGAAGCACAGTCAGTGACAGAATCAAACGGAGAGCCACAAGACACAAAATGCTTATTAAAGCAATCTAGCATAGTAGCCCTGTCTGATATAATGCCAGATACTGTGGTGAGGCACGGAGGTAGCTCATTTGGGATATCACCAGTGGAAATCGATTTTATGGCTTTCCAAAATTTCCTAGGATTATTTAGGTTTTCTGTGGTAACTGACAAATAGTACTTTGACTTAGCACTTTTTATTTGCGATGTGAAGCTATTTCTTAGCTGCCTAAAGCGTAGCCATTCTACCTCTGAGCCTGATTTCCTAGCCTTTGCCCAGGCATTGTTTCTCTCATGAAGGAGACTGGACAGTTCAGCAGAAAACCAAGGATTGTCTCGTCCCTTCACTCTAAATTTACGCAGAGGTGCATGTCTATCTATAATTTCCATAAAACCAAGATAAAAATAAGACCATGCAGTTTCTACATCAGCACACAGATCGATTTTACTTGTCTCTTTTTAGGATGATACGAGGTTTCACCTTTTGGACCTTAGTGTCCCTAATTGTGGCTACAACACAGTGGTCACTCACATCATTAGCAAATACTCCCACAGATGAGTATTTATGTGGAACATTTGTTAAAATGAGATCAATTAAGGAGGATTTATTTGGGGACTTAATATTTGAGCGAGTAGGACTATCTATAATCTGAGTAATATTCAAAGAGGTACACAGGTTTTTTAAATCCTCTGACACAGAAGTTAACCAGTCCCAATTAAAATTGTTGAGATAAAAGTTTTTCCAATGAAGATAAAGAGTCCTTGACAGCAGAGGGGGGTCTGTAGCAGCCCACCACCATGACCTGTTGACCCTTTGTTACTTCGATATTCACGCGTGTCTGCATGGTGCTTTTCCGATGGGAAATTAACACAAACTGTGCGAAGAAGACCTAAAGAGGAAAAGTAAGAAGAAGCAAAGACAGGAGAGCAAGATAAGGAGAGGATAAGAAGAATGTCAGAGGGATTATAAAAGCAACTACAAGAACTTTCAAGTGCAAGCTCAAAAAATGGTAGAATAGACGCAACAATTCAATAAAGCTGACAGATCGTTTAAATTGGAACAGACAGACGCCTTCAGGGCTATCTGTGTACCTTAAGGCAAAGTTAAGGAGGGCAAGGCCTGTGCTATTAGTATTCTGTGGCCTTCTGTAAGAGCTGTTTTAGCTTTATATTACATATGCATCCGACATAATGTCCACCAGACATCCGTTCCCTCTCCATTATTAGGAGCTTTTTAATTTTAATTGGGGATAAATAGATTTTTTCATGTGGAAAAACGGTTATTTTCCATTTTCTCCTTTCGCTCTTCGACACAGAGTACATTCCTGTATTTCATCACAGGGGTCAGGAGTGATAAGACTGTAAAAAGAACATTGTGTCATGAATAGTGAACCCATCTCTTACTCACATGGGTGTCAGGTGATTATGTGAGTACAGATCAGATAAATAGGTCAAGACAAGTTCAGACTACAGATTCTAACACTAGCACCAGTATTAACACAGCATTGCTTCACAAGTCAGCACTCAGAGCACATTTTTTAGACTGCCTAACTGGAAAATCTTTGTTTGATCTGCAAATTGGCTTCTCTGTCAGCTGAATGCATTTGACTCAGCGGGCGTGGAATCAATAACAGGCTGTTGTTGTGAGCTGTCAGCATTTTTCCTTTCGTTTTGCATTAGAATAATCATTAACTACACGTTTGCTGTTGAAAGCAAACGGAAATGAGCATATTATGTCCTTTTAAGTTACATTTAAAGGTGGGGTAGGTAAGTTTGAGAAACCGGCTCGAGATACACTTTTTGTTATATTCCATGGAATGCTCTTAACATCCCGATAGCAATGAATATTTTAAGTGCTTTGACAAAAATACATAACAAAATGTCATCTGTGGAAGCCGTGGCGCTGTAAAAAGCACGACCAATCATCTGAGCCGGCCCGGCTAAAATAACTGGATGGCCTACCTGCCTGTCAGCCTTCCATCTGTGCACAAACTTATCTCGTGCCCTCATTGGTCATGTGCGCGTTCGTGTGTGTTGGAGGAGGGGCTCTGTAAGGAAGTGGCAAGAAGTGTATTTTCAAATTCTAGCGCACTCAAGCTGGTTTCTCCAAAATGACCTACCCCATCTTTAAGTCTTTTACAAACTGTTAAGTTACCACAAATGGTTCCTCTGAATTGCAGCTGAGTAGAATTATGAAGTGGCATAAAATACAAATACACATTAAAGTAAAGATACTTCAACAAAAAGGACAGTACTTGATACATGAGCATTGTCATATATCACCTCGTTACTCTGCAACAAACTAATGTTAACAACTTAACTTTACTAATATTGTACCATACTTTGTACTTTTACAATTCATAGACTTTCAGAAGATGGAGATACTTCACAGACGAAGAGATCACAGGACCTGATGCTGAGGAGGCCTTAAAGGTCACCTATTATGCAAAATCCACTTCTCCACATCTCTTCTACATCAACATGTGTCCCCTCTTCTTCATGTCTCTTCTTCATCAACATGTGTCCCCTCTTCTCCACGTCTCTTCTACATCAACATGTGTCCCCTCTTCTTCATGTCTCTTCTACATCAACATGTGTCCCCTCTTCTTCATGTCTCTTCTACATCAACATGTGTCCCCTCTTCTTCATTTCTCTTCTACATCAACATGTGTCCCCTCTTCTTCATGTCTCTTCTACATCAACATGTGTCCCCTCTTCTTCATGTCTCTTCTACATCAACATGTGTCCCCTCTTCTTCATGTCTCTTCTACATCAACATGTGTCCCCTCTTCTCCATGTCTCTTCTACATCAACATGTGTCCCCTCTGTGGAAAGAGACTCTGAAAGTTTCAGGAACAAAGATTCTCTCTCTTTTTGTCCTGATCCATTTCTATAAAAACCTGTCTGAAAATGAGCTGATCAGATTTTGGCCACTTTATGATGTCATAACGATGTTTTG